GCTTTGATTATCTTGTTTAGCTGGGAGTGATGCTCCACCCTCTTTCGTTGAAGGGTCAGGTGTGACAGCAAGATACAAAAAGGAGTCCATAGCATCATTCAGCCACAGCTTAGTATTGCCCTGGAACTGTTTTTCAATGCTGGGGGGAAAGCTGAGGACATTGCTATAAGAAACTGAATGCCCTTTGACATCTTAGAACTCAACCTAGTATGTCAATCATCTTCCATTTTTATTGTTACTTCCATTCTGTTTTTTCTATTGCATTTAAGTTATAGTGTGGCTGTTTTTAAAAGCTGGCACAATGGGCTCATTGTAGAGACTTTCTTTTGCAACGTAAGGTTGGGGAGCTTAAGATTTGTAGGGTCAGAAACAGAGGGCAGGTATAACCAGTGCTTCTTTTCTGGGGGTACTCAATAATAATAATAATAATAATTTATTACTTATAACCTGCCCATCTGGCTGAGTTTCCCCAGCCACTCTGGGCAGCTCCCCACAGAATATCAATAACAATAATGATGATGATGATAATGATAATAATAATGATAATGATGATGATAATAAAGCGATAAAATATAAAACATTAAAAACTTTCCTAAGTTTTTTTCCTAAGGTGCAGTACCGGCACCTCTTTTTTCTAGAAGTAAAGTACTGATTTAAAACTGGGGCACTTACTGTAACAACTTTATGGTGAGTACATTATGGTGAGCCACGAAGAAATATGGGCTGTGGTTTGCTAAGAGTTATAAAGAGCCACATGTGCTACCAATACTACCAGATGCATTTCCAGAAAGAGCACTGGAAATGAAGGAAAACATAGAAGCATAAAGCAAAGCAGCCCCTTGTGAGCAGATACAAGCTACCCTGAAATTATGTGGCAAGGATTTACTTCTACCCCACTTTGATATATCAATTTGCAACCAGAGGCTCACTGTGGATGCAAAGTGAGCAAGAATCTGAGATGGGGACCGTAAGTGAGCTGAGACTGTGTTCATACACATTCTGGCCATTTGGAGGACATCTTAATGGGCAGGGCTACAGAGAGGTAAACTCACTGTGAAATTTAAATATAGCAAAGAGAAGAAGTATTCCAAGAGCATCGCAGAAGAATAAAGGAGATGATATACCAAGGGTACAGATGGTGCTAATCCAGAACTCTAGATTTGGTCCTTTTTGCAATTCAATGGGAAGAAACAGAATACAGTGGTACCTCAGGTTACATACACTTCAGGTTACATACGCTTCAGGTTACAAACTCCGCTAACCCAGAAATAGTGCTTCAGGTTAAGAACTTTGCTTCAGGATGAGAACAGAAATCGGGCTCTGGCATCACGGCAGCAGCAGGAGGCCCCATTAGCTAAAGTGGTGCTTCAGGTTAAGAACAGTTTCAGGTTAAGAACGGACTTCCGGAACGAATTAAGTTCTTAACCCGAGGTACCACTGTACTGGCACATTTCTTTTCTAGAAAGGAAACATTGTGGCTGAGGAACAGCATCTGGGCTGCCTAAAATTTAGGAAGCGGGGGTGGGGTGGAGGGCTGTGGTCCATCAATTGTTGGTGAACTCCAACTCCCGTCACCCTTTATGGAGGTTAATTTCAGCATCTTTTGTACTTCACAGTCAATATTTCAAAACACTGATAACCTGCCTCTCTTCTTCCTCTATTTATTTCTATTGCATACAGAGGGAACTATTGCAGTTCCCTTATGGATATGGTACTATCCATATATTCTCTTGCATTGTCACACAAGAAAACATACTTAAAACATATTTCAGAGGTACTGAATTAAAATACAGTCAACGTGTGATTTGTTAGATGTATTCATATTTTCTTTAAAAATTCTTTACATATATATATATATATATATATATGTATGTATGTGTGTATATATATATATATATATATATATATATATATATGAATTTTTAAAGAAAATTATTAAAGAAATTTTAAAGAAATAGAAAGGCAAACAAAATGTTCACACACACACACACACACACACACACACACACTTACACACATTTTGTTTGCCTCTCTAAGTGGCTTCATTGTCAGTTTCTCTTCCCACAGGGGTGGAAAGCTTTAATTACTCATTCCAACTTCTCTATTCACCATAAAAACACATGTCAGGATATCAGTTATTACATTATTACGATTTCCTCCCTACACCCCAGCAGAAACTGACATTGAGGGAATTGAAGCACACTATGATGCCTGTCAGACCAGCATGCCTTCTATGCAGGGCTTCCTGGTTCTGGCACCTCTCAGGTGGGCACCACTGCCATGCTAAGAGAACGAGGGAGGCGTTTATGGTGAGTTCTGGCACCTCTGTTTCTAGAAAAATAGTATTGCTTCTATGGAAGTAAATGTGGATACGTCTGACCAAGAAGCCTTAGATGTCTTCCTTAATTCAGGAGGAGAGGACAGTACTATGCCATCTCCTATGATAGGATCAGACTGTAAGGTAAAGGGACCCCTGACCATTAGGTCCAGTTGCGGACGATTCTGGGGTTGCAGCGCTCATCTCACTTTATTTGCCGAGGGAGCCAGCATACAGCTTCTGGGTCATGTGCCCAGCATGACTAAACCACTTCTGGCGAACCAGAGCAGCGCACGGAAACGCCGTTTATCTTCCCGCCAGAGCGGTACCTATTTATCTACTTGCACTTTGACGGGCTTTCGAACTGCTAGGTGGGCAGGAGCTGGGACTGAGCAATGGGAGGTCACCCTGTTGCGGCGATTTGAACCGCCAACCTTCTGATCGGCAAGTCCTAGGCTCTGTGGTTTAACCCACAGTGCCACCCACTGGATCAGACTGTAGCCCTGGTCAAAATGAAATCAGCCTTCAAGTTCCTACTCAATCGCATTGAGAGAGTTGTCTTCCACAACATCAGCCTGGACTAATTCTGCCAGCCAAGATGCTAGTGATGGAGAATCACCTGTGGTCCAGTCAGATGAGGAAGATGTACAAGTAGGCACTGCCCTTGTTGCTATAAATGCAGAACTAAAAGGCCCTTCTGATGTTAGTGAGGAGAGTGATTTGCAAACAAATTGAGTTATTATGCGCTAAAGGAAACAGGACACTATAATGAATGAATGAATGAATGAATGAATGAGTAAAGAAGTGTTTGAGCTTGCTGCTGTTACTCTGAATTATTATTATTTTTGAATTGGTTTCTATTGAGGCTTTTCTTGTGCAATAAACAAAGAAAAGTAAAAATAAAAATAAATCAGAAATATTTGATTTCAGTGTGACTTACTCGAAGGATATAGCACGACAGACTTGGACTATACAAGGGGCAAAACAGCAGATCTTCCTCGCTAATCCCCTAGGCTGGTTCAACAAGAATCAATAAAACAAACAGAATCTGCAAATTGGGAGCTTTCAGTCAGCTTTAGAAAGGATCTTTGCTAAATGGAATTTACACGTGAATAGACATTCTTGAAAGATCTTGACTGTTGAGATAATTCAGTGCTTTGTAGAAGCTCTAATTCCACTTTCAGCTAATTGCAGAAAGACAGTAATCCGGTGCTTAACAGTGCAATCCAATGTTTTTCTACTTCTACTCAGAAGTAAATCTTACTGAGTTCGATGGGACCTACTCCCAGGTAAATCTAGATCGGAAGCCTAGATCTGAATCTTTATGACTGAAAAGTGCTCAACGTTGGGTGGATCTTGCCCTGTAATCCCCACCCCCATCCACATCTTAATACTTTTAAGTGATTAATGTTTTAAAACTTGCCCACAAGGCAAAGTGACAGCATGGTCGCTGACCTGCAAGATCAGAGGACATACTCAGCAGCCCATCAAATTGGAATATAATTTCTGTTGCTGTGCTTTCACATTTGTATGTATAACAGTTGGAGTAGCCTGGAGTGAGCAATGTGGCTCTATGGGACTTCTAATGTTTTTCAAAGGCAATACAACCTACATTTCTCTGAACCAAGTATTCTGATTTTAGCAGTATCCTTCCTGCTGCACACAGTATTTCGGGCCCTCTGAAGAAATGAGAAAACATCTCTCAAAATGCAATCATTCATAAAGAAACATTTTTCATGGAAGGTGTGAGAAGCATAACCAATTCTATTAAACCCCAATTCATAAGCTAAATAGTACTTGTTGGCATGCTGTACAGTCAACCCTGTGCTACTTCAGGTTGCAGGTAGGAGGGGACATATTTTTGAATGTGGCCTTGCAATAGAACACTTTCTCCCTATTATATCAAGGAGTAAAAGGTAAAGGGACCCCTGACCATTAGGTCCAGTCATGGACGACTCTGGGGTTGCAGCGCTCATCTTGCTTTATTGGCCGAGGGAGCCGGCGTACAGCTTCCGGGTCACATGGCCAGCATGACTAAGCCGCTTCTGGCGAACCAGAGCAGCGCATGGAAACGCCATTTACCTTCCCGCTGGAGCAGTACCTATTTATCTACTTGCACTTTGACGTGCTTTCGAACTGCTAGGTCGGCAGGAGCAGGGACCAAGCAATGGGAGCTCACCCCGTCACGGGGATTCAAACCGCCGACCTTCTGATTGGCAAGTCCTAGGTTCTGTGGTTTAACCCACAGCGCCACCTGCGTCCCTATCAAGGAGGGGGCTATGCTAAACTTCTCTCTTTAATATATCAGTTTGTGACATGGATGCATCCAATTTATATATTATGAAGCGTTGAAAAACGAAAAACAAAACTAGAACCTGAAGTGGTACAATACAGTCCTGGGTCATAATCACACCATACATTTTAAGCACATGGGTTGTTCCAAAGAATTATGGGAACTGTCATTTGTTAAGATTGCTGCGAATTGTAGCCATGGGGAGGGTTAACTACAGTTGCTAAGATTCTTTGTATGGTATGGATGTGACTTGTGTAAGATGCTGGTCATCTAATCTACTGTGCTTCAGTAGAGCCCAGGGGTATTTTCGTTTTAGACAATAAAAGTTGGAAAAAAATTAATTTAGGAACTGTCTCCTATGCAATGTATGATAAACTATGATGAAATCCCTAATTCCTGCATCTTCTTCCTGTCTTTGGAACATCCTTGCCTCTTGGTTCTCAAAATCCAAGAGGCAAGGATATTCCAAAGGCAGGGAGAAAATGCAGGAATTAGGGATTTTATCATAGTCCATAGGCTACAGTTGACTCCATCTAAGCAATCTAATGGACAAAGATGCCCTAGATAATGAACTTAACTTAAAAAACCAGAGCCCCTTTAATAGGCTATAAAGATTTAATTCAATGTTATTAATCATCATCATTATTCTTAGACTTCCACCCTTGAGCTTAAAAATTGGTCTCTGCCAGAGCCTTTAACTGTCTCTTCTCCCACAAAATTTGCAGAGGTTGTTAATTCCTCAGTTTGCACTCTGATCATATTTTATAGTGCCAGGAACTTGCCTTTAACAAAATTAAATGGATTTCTAGTGCTTACCGGGGCCAGATTCAGATGAAGAGAGGCCCCAGGCTACTCCACTTGTGAGGCCCCTCCCCATCCCGATGTTAGGATTCTTTTCCCGTGTTGCAGTCATGGGATTGTTTATATCACATGACGGTGTATGTTTTCATTCCACATTGTGGGAAGCCATGAATTAAAAAAAGAGGTGCTGGTGAGTACAGAGGTACCTCTGGTTACGAACTTAATTTGTTCCAGGGGTCTGTTCTTAACCTGAAACTCTTCTTAACCTGAGGTACTACTTTAGCTAATGGGGCCTCCCGCTGCCGCCGCACGATTCCCCTAGATTTAGAGGCCCTAGGCTTCAACCTACTTAGCCTATACATAAATCCGGCACTGGTGCTTACTTACACAGCTCTTCCTGTGGTAGCACCAGGAGGGAGAAAAGGGGTGTGGCAAGAGGAACAGACAAAGCACAAGGCATTTCTGAAGAGGGACAAACTATGCCCCATTTGGTTTCTGTAAGCAGGTGGAGAAATAGGAACTTAGGAAGTGGCTTGTGCTTATTCACGCTATTGGTTCATCTAACTGCATTGTATACAGTGGTGTAGTAGCAAATTCAGAAGGCTAGGGTCTCTTCATGATAGTCACAACCATGCCCCCTCATAGCCATGCCACTTCTAAAAGCCATGCCACTTCTAAAATTATACAATAATCTTATACTGGCAAGGGACACATAATGCTCCTTCTGGGGTCGTTTACTCACCTTTGGTCCCCACCCTGCACTCAGCTCTCACCTGTGGTAAAATATGGACTGGACAAGGTAACTGTTAGGTGGATTCGTAACTGGTTGACTGACTGAACCGAAAGAGTGCTCATTAATGGTTCTTTATTATCCTGGGATAATTGACCATTGAAGTGCTACAGGGTTCTACCTTGGGCCCACTGTTGTTCAGTGTGTTTCTAAATGACTTGAAGGAATTGAGGGGATGCTTGTCAAATCTGCAGATGATGCCAAACTGGGAAGGGTGGTTAATGTTGCAGAAGACAGAATCAGGACTCTCCTTCATTGGAGGTTTTTAAGCAGAGGTTGGATGGCCATCAGTCATGAATGCTTCCGTTGCAATACATGCGTTGCGGGGGTGGTTGTGGTTTGGACTCTGTGTTGGACTGATGTCAGCAAAGATCAAATTTCTGCAGAGGAAGGATAGTTACAGGGTGCACAAGTCATTTCTTTTGTTGTCATGGCGTTTGAAAATAATTACTTGACTACCCCAGGCTCTGTAATTCATATAGATCGTTCTCTCATATTTTACATGATTTAATTTACTTTTTAAAAATGTAATCTAGGCACACCGGGAAGCCTTCTCAGAACTATTCAGATGGGCACAACGCAACAAAAATGTATCATTATCCTCATTAAACACATAATCTCCCTTGGTTCATCTGCGAAAGAGGCTGTTGTTTGCCAAAGGCATTCCTGGCAGTCGCTGAGTGCTGAAACTCCTTAGAATGAACCTCTCCAGGACAGAGCGGAGGTGTTGCTTCCAATTTTTATTTACAAGAGTTTCAGCAATAACATAATGGATTTTGCATGCAGAAATGTGTGCTTCATTTGCAGAAAAGTTTGACTTTTTACTTAAACTATATAGCGATGCTAAGCCATGTTTTAAATGCCGCATTACGACCATGCGCCGCAGGCAGATGTATTTTGGAAAGAATATAAGGCAAGGTAGAATCTTTTGGTGCAGCAATTTTAACTACTCCCATGCCCTGCATGTTCGTCAAACTAGTGGAGCTTCCATTGGGTTTCTGAAAACAGACACTGAAACCTGTGATTATGCATTATCCACATAATGGCAACCATAGTTTAACATTATATGGATGAGCTGGGGAAATGTGGGGAGGCACTCTGTGAAATTAATTTCCTCCCTTCCATTTTCTTCTGTGGGTTGGATTTATTTACACCTGCCCTTTTGAATGGCCCTTTGGAAGTCCTGCCAGGTTCTGAGGAAGCAGTAACTACTTGACAAGATTTGGCTGTGGCAGATCAGTGCCTACTAGCTTTGACCATGCCCACTCCCAACCCTCAGTAACCCCATTTGTAGGATTCCAGCCTCATGTTTGAATCTAATTAGTGCACGAAGGGGTTAAACCATAGAGTAGGCTGTCCTGCCCGGCTTCGCCTATGTCACCATTTCCCACCTTGAGAAGAAATGAGTCATCAAGCCTTTGATATCTCTCTCTCTCTCTCTCTCTCTCTCTCTCTCTCTCTCCCTCCCTCTCTCTCTCTCTCCATGTGGATTTCAATATGTAAGGAGCTGAGCATGGCTTTAACCAGCCTCTTTGGTTTCAGACCAGAACAGAGTCCAGAACGAGTGGGGTTTTTTTTTCTATACCAATAGTTGGGCATTTTTACATTTTGTAACTAAGCAAATTTTGACTGCCTGTGCAACTTTTCTGACTGCTGTATGGAAAAGCCCATAAATCTGACCTTTGAAGAGTTTTGTAGGTATTTTATCGCCAAACATGTGATCTCTTTCTATGCCAGAGAAGTGGGGTAGCTTGGAAAGAGACTTTAAAGGGGGATATTTTGAGACTCAAGGGAAGGACATATTTAAAAGGTTTTACAGCCTATATTTTTACATTTTTCTTTGCTGCGTGTTTTGCAATGTTAAATCTCTGCTGGGGTTCTCTCACCAAAGAGTACTTGGATCTTGGCATCCAAGATTCAACACTATTTTTGACCTTTCCATTGATGCGGCTCCCACTAGGCAAAACTTCCACACGCCATGCTCTCCCTTGGTGGGCAGATATGATTCCATTGGTGTGTGGGTTTTCTGTCAGCATGATCTCTCCATCAGATGTGTGAGTGATCCACCACATCATCACCTCTCTCAGCCTGTGGATCTGGTGGTTTGAATTGCTCTGTTATCCCATGTTTGATGAGGAGAAATGAAAATAACTCTTTTAATGCTTTTATGGCTTCTCACTGTGACTAAACAAATCTGTCAGTTTTGGTTCTCCAAGTTTCTCCTTATTTCCAATCTTGAATTTATTTCTCTTTACAGTATTTCTGCAACAATATGCAAGTTGTTGTTGTTATTTTATAAAATGCTGGTGAAAATTCACCAGCATTTTAGTGCAAATTTCTTCTCTGTATGCAATTTTGACTAATATACATATTTTTTTGCAAGTAATTCCCCCTTATAAAACGTATTTTTGTATTTCATACGTTATTTTCACCAGTACATGCATTTTAATGCACTTATCAGATGTATTTTTGTACACATGACTTGACTGGAGAACTGCAATGCAAAATTCTCAGAAGTGCGAATTTTGAAGAGTGGTTTTACAATGACCGCTCCCCGCTTAAAACGGGGGGCGCCCTTTGCGTGGACGCGCGCAGCCCCTGGATCTGGAGTGGCTCCATCAGCATAGGCTTGGCTTTGCCTTCCCTCAGGTGGGATACCTGGAGGTCTCCGCCTACCTCAGTCAGTTGTCCAATCCCACCTGGGGAAGCGTTGCCAAGGAGACCAGGCCAGGTAGGGGAGGGATTACCTGCCCACACAATAGAGGGAGGACCTTACCTGGGAATCCTCACTTGGCTCCAGAGCTTCTCCCACCCTACCCACCCTCAGTTAATGTCTTATTTTGCAGGTTAACTTTTCTTCACAGGTTTTGCAGGTTAACTTTTCTTCACAGGTATGCGGGCGCTGCTACGTTAAGGTCGCTGTTAAAGGGCTGGAAAGGAATTTCCCTGCATTGGCAGGTTTCGCCTTCCCCGTAGCAAAACGTCACAACTTTGGCGGTATCAGGTCTTGGGCGGAATCCTTTAGTCCATCTTCCTCTTTGCGGCGGCGATACCAGGGTTCCCCGTTAAAGGGGTTTCTGAAGGGAGGCTTTGACTGTACGCCGAAAGGTCGTCATTACTCTCCCCTGCGGCGGCAGCGTAACGGGGGCGGCTATCTCTGCTTGAACATATGTTCTCCAGAGCCGGCCCATCCCCCCCCCAAACACTGGATAACCCTGATGCTCCCTAGGTCCCTGGCTGGGGACTGGGGAGGGAGAACGCCCAATGCCTGAGCCAAGGTCTACCCACATTTGAAATTTAATAAAGTTGTGGCCAATTTAATCCCATAGCACATTGTCTTGAGTCGTTATTCCACATGACGGGGGGGGGGGGCGCTCGGGATCGGGGGACTCCGCCTGTCCATGCAATGCAAAATTCTCAGAAGTGTGAATTTTGAAGAATGGTTTTGCTTTGCTTTTTGTATTGTTTCAAAAAGTGTGAATTTGGTAGATTCACCTTTAAATGTAAACTGAATCTAATTTCTCCCCCCTCTCTACTATTTTAGCACCTCTTTTTAACAAAATGCTTTAATAATAAAACGCTGCATTCAGCTTCCCCACAGTTTTTTTTCTGCTTCATTTCAACAAAGAAACATTGTAAAAATGTGATATTAAAAAGAGGGAATGCAGATCTGTAAGCAGTCAGCATAAAAAGAGTCGCTCATTCTTATTATTCATTGTTGTGGGGAGTTATTCTTGGTTTGACAATATAATTATAAACACTTCTTTAGTCTATTCCAGAAACTTTCTTATTTTTTCTCTGCACATGTCTTTTTTCTGCTCACATTTATGCCAGTCTATTTTATGCTATTATTAATTTCTAAAAACCATGAATGTAGCTTAAATTGAATCCTAT